TAATTCAGAAACTATGAATTGCATTTTGTAAAGATTCAGCCTACCTCGTCTAAAACTCGCATGCAAATTTATTTTAACTTGCTTTGATGGGACCCCGACGGGTCTTTAATAAAAATTATCTATCTATCTATCTATCTAAGTTGAAACTCCTCCGGACGAATCTCTGAGAGTTGGGACAACGATATTTCGATGCCCTCAATCTACAAAAGGCTATAGATCTCCAAACAGCCTTCTCAAAACTCGAGTCAGTGTGGGGAGGAAAGGACAACGTCTTTCTCAGTCACTATCGGTTTTGTCAAATGCGTCAAGAATCCAATCAATGTGTCAGTGATTTTATTACTGATCTGACTCTGGCCATTCAGGACTGTGGGTATAAAGAGATCAAGGCAGACAACTTCGAGCACGCAATGCTCGTTCAGCAGTTGATCGTCGGTCTGCGCGATGAAAAAGCTTGGGAAAATCTCTTATCAGAGAAGAAGGATTTGTCATGGGAGAAAGCCTGTGATATTGCCAGTCATCAGGAGCGCGTGCGGCAAAGCCTTCAGCAGCTGAATCAGTCAAACAATAGAGTGATAGCATCCTTGGAATCGGAAATGGCTGTCTCCCTGGTAAACACTACTGTGTCTTCACCTAGACAGCGACCCTTAGCTCCCTTAAAACAACTACCATCATGCTACCGTTGTGGCCAGCATCATATCCGGTGGTCAGACTGTAGACACCGGAAGACGGTATGCCAGTTTTGCAAGAAAAACGGCCACATCGAACGAGTGTGTTTCTCCAAAAGACGAGCGAATAGTAACGCGCATGCGACCTACCCTAGTCCAGCTGGGGATGGTGAGGCGATACCCCGAATGTTTCCGGCCAACGCTACTCTCCAATCCCCCTACACCATCACGCTTCCGGTTGATCACCATCCCGTGAAGTTTGAAATCGACACTGGCTCAGCTGTTACTCTCATCAATGAGGCCTCTCTTCAGAAATTACCCTCCCTCCTACCGGCTAGCTCAACATTCCGTAGTCACACTGGACAGAACGTAGACGTTCGAGGGGTCTTTACAGCCGAAGTCGAACGTGATGGAGAACTTCATTACTTGCCGGTTCATGTGGTGAGAGGAAGCCAGCAACCGAATCTCCTTTGACGAAATTGGATTAAATGTGTGCCTTCTGTGCTATCCTATGTACATCGAATTGGTGTAAATCTAGCTTTAGATTCAATTTTGGTAAATCATAAGGATCTATTTCGTGACGATTCAGCTACTTACTACCGCGATCCACCTGTTAAGTCTCAGTTTCAGTCAGATTTCCGGCCCCGGTTCTTCAAAGCTCGTACAGTCCCCTATGCACTCGCAGCGAAGGTCGAAGAAGAGCTGGATCGCCTACAGAAAGCGGATATTATTGAGCCCGTGCAATATTCGGAATGGGCAGCCCCAATAGTTCCTGTTCTTAAAACCGATGGTTCTGTGCATATCTGTGGCGACTACAAGCTGACAATCAACTCAGCAACTAAACGGAACCCTTATCCTCTCCCGCGCATCGAGGATCTGTACGCATCTCTCCCGGGTGGTCATCAGTTTGCAAATTTGGACCTAAAGCATGCCTACAACCAAGTCATCCTACATACTGAATCCCGAGACGCCACCACCATTAATTCGCATCAAGGTTTATTTCGATATAAAAGACGACCATTTGGAGGAAGTTCGGCTCCCGGTTTATTTCAATGCTTGATTGATAATCTCGTGAAGGATATACCTCACGTTTGCGCATATCTTGACGATATATTAGTTGCCGGCCAATCTGAACATAGTCATCTAGAGACTCTAAACATCGTGTTAGGACGTTTAGAGGACGCCGGTTTTAAACTCAGGAAAGATTAGTGCACTTTCCCTGCCGACTCGGTAGAATACCTGGGCTTCAGGGTGGATAAAAATGGCCTCCATCCACTCGAACATAAGATCAAAGCCTTGAAGACGGCGCCGCGCCCCAACAATACTAGTCAATTGCGTTCATTCCTGGGGTTGGTCACCCACTTTGGTCGCTTTATGAATCAATCGGCTACAATTCTCAAGCCTCTTTATCGACTACTTGAAAAGAATTGTGGCTGGCACTGGGCGGAGGTCGAACAAAGTGCTTTTGAACAAGCAAAGGCGGCTCTTACCTCCTCATCTGTCCTAGTTCATTATGGCCCCGAAAAGCCTATCATACTGAAATGTGATACGTCTCCGTACGGCGTGGGTGCGGTTCTCATGCACCGAATGCCTTCTGGTGCGGAGATGCCGATTGCCTTTGCATCAAGAACCATGTCACAGGCGGAAACCAACTATTCGCAACTAGACAAAGAGGCCTTAGCAATAATGTTTGGCCTACATCGGTTCCACCTGTATCTTTTTGGCCGGCACTTTGAAATTCACACTGATCACAAACCCCTCTTAGGTTTGCTGGGAGAAAAACGAGGGATACTACAGATTTCCTCGCCAAGAATGCAACGATGGGCACTCACCCTGTCTGCTTACACGTATGCAATGAAATACGTTACAGGTAGTGCAAACGTAGTGGCTGACGCCTTGAGTAGGCTTCCTATCGTGGACGATGGCATTCACGGGGCACCTGTTTTTGGGGCCGTGAATCTTTTGCAAAATCTAGTCAACGCGCCTGTAACCTGTCAACAAATTCGACAGTGGACATCGAGAGACCCTCTCCTAAGTCGGGTAAAAAAGCCTTACAATCTGGCTGGCCGTCCTCTACCTCCTCTGATTTTCAACCATTCTTCAGCCGTCAGAACGAGTTAAGTCTACAAGATGGATGCATGCTATGGGGCAATCGTGTAGTTGCGCCACCACAAGGCCGACGGGCCATCCTCAGAGACCTGTATAATGCTCATCCTGGTACAGTTAGAATGAAAGCTCACGCCCGCATCTATGTTTGGTGGCCCAAAATTGACGCAGATATAGAAAACGTGGTGAAAGCATGTCACGTGTGCCAAATAACACAGGAGACCTTACCGAAGGTTCCTCTGAAGCCTTGGGCCTGGCCCGACTCGCCGTGGAAGAGGGTACACGTCGATTATTTTGGGCCATTCCTAGGCCATATGGTTTTGGTGGTAGTTGACGCCCACACTAAATGGATTGATGCGATTCCGACAGGAAATTCTTGTTCCTCAGTGACTACAATCAACAAGTTGCGAGCCGTCTTTTCTACTTTTGGGATACCTGAAATGGTCGTTTCAGACAATGGCCCGGTCTTTACTAGTGCAGAATTTAAAGATTTCATGGAAAAAATGGAATTAGACAGTTAACTACTGCCCCGTACCACGCTGCTTCAAATGGCCTCGCAGAGCGTGCAGTCCAGACAATAAAGGACGGACTAGTCAGACAGACAGAAGCGGACTTGGCCACCAAGTTGTCACGCTTTCTGTTCAGCTATCGCATAACACCAAACGACTCAACGGGTGCTTCGCCTGCAGAATTGATTTTTAAGCGGCAGTTGCGCACACGACTCGACCTGATTAATCCATCAACGCAGGATAGAGTCACTGCAAAACAGACGAAGATGAAAGCACGATATGATGTGAGCACCCGACCACGAGTCGTCGCGCCCAACGAAAGTGTCTACACGCGACTGGAACACGAAACGAACTGCTGTCCAGCGGTAGTTCGAAAAAGCGAGGGTCAAATAGTGGAATTACAGTTAGAAGGTGGGATAATTGTGCGTCGACATCTGGACCAAGTTCGCAGCTGAACTGACACAGTAAGTGGAGAATTCGGAGAGTTGGAACTGCCAGCAACCCTTGATGAGGATCCTGACATCCCGAGGACTGAGTTCCTACATCCTGAACAGGGCACTACGCCATCCACCGAGGCTTATGTTCCACCTCCTTCTACCCCGGCCAGCACTAGCTTAGGGGTAGAGGAGCCAGTGACTGCACAAAGCGGCGCAGAGGTAGAAAATACCGCCCTGAGAAGATCGACCCGAAACCGCAAACCTGTCCAACGCTTTCAGGACGAATCTTATTAGAACATTGTCTGACAATCCACTATTACCTATACTGTTCCCCTCACCTTCCCCTCAAGCTCTCCACTTTAGGGTGGAGGGATGCAGCGTATCCTGCCCGGGCCGTCAGGACATCATGCCACAAACGCGTGACAAGCGAACGATCAAGGTCATGACCCCCTGTTCACACCGTCTTTGTGTTGATTGGCCACCCATCAGCCTATGACAGTCCCCCTTGCCATATACCCGCTCGTTTCCACAAGCCTCCTCACTTGTGCTGTCTATCGTACTCAGTACACTTCCTATTTCCAATAAGCTTTCTGTTTTGCATACATAACACTTTGGATGTTGAGGTGACACCTACGTGCTAGCTAAGCAAACGGTGAGGAACGCAGCGTTGTGGGAAACTCTGGGGAAGGGCCGAGGGGGATGCCAACATAAAGAGTAAGAGAGATGCTAGCGCTACGGCAAGTTGCGAGCAGAGGGTCGGTGGTAGTGAGAGAGGACACCGATAATTGAATCGAATTCCATCGCTCTGGGGGAAATTACTTATCAGCAATTTAGTATGCTTCGATGCATACTTAACTGTGCGATCCCAGAACCCCGTCTCCCATGGCGTCCAGTTCGTCCTGCGAATAACGCCACGGCAGTTTCGGACGAAATTCGTATCCTAAATGATCTTATGTTAGTCGTCCTTTCCTATATCCACTACTGCGCTAAAATTGACTTTTAGCACTTGACCAACGGAGGCATAGCATTGGGGGACGAAAAAAACTGCGCTAGACGGAACATTTGGCATTAGCGTTCTGGCCAGACCAACATACGCATACCATTGTCTTCAATCCCATACCGAGGACTCCGGTGCGCGGATACATGCAACTTTTCGTCATCGAGTACTGACTGTACAATGTCGGACTTTCAGCGTATATCACAGGAGCTAGAAAGGAGTGCTGAAAATGCTGGCCAGAGAGGGGCTCGAACCCTCGACATTCGCGTTATTAGCACGACGCTCTAACCGACTGAGCTATCCGGCCACGCCCCCGCCGCCCCTGTTTGCTATCCTTATTCTACGTAAACTTGGTGGGATTTTTGCAGTCTAGGCTGCTGGAGGTTACATTTCCACACAATTATTCATATCTACCTTCGTACTGAGTCCGTAAAGCTACCGTTTCTAACCCTTATTTATCGTGACTATAATATCGATCTGCCTATCTTTCCAACGGTTTTCTTCAAGTTCAGGAACCTGCTGTGATCAGCCGGCGTTAATGCTCATGACTTATCGTGACAGACTACTATTCCCATTACTAATATTTTTCGCAAAATTTTGTACTTTGCGCATTTCCAATAAGCTATCTTTTCCTATTCATTCCTGTCCGCTCCCCCTTGTCGTGTGAGAGTGGTGCAGCGTGAGACGTTTGTTGGTGCACGTATATGACTGATTATGGCTAGGTTACAACAATATACCGTCAGTAAGGCTTTGGGTTGTTTCGATGTGTCACATTTAATGGTGACCCAGGACTCTTTGGTTTGCGATTAATAAACACTAAGCGAGAAAGTCGATATGCAAAAGGGGGACCAAGAGCCAGGAAAAGGGACGTCCCGTGCACATTTTCGGTGGCAGGACCAGATGGTGTTAACCGTACCTAGCCCCCTCAGAGCCACCCCAGCTGTGCTGATTAAGAAGGGGTCAGGCGGGCCCGTAGCCACGCTTTTTTGGGAATATGGGAAACGTACCTCGTCTGTGAGGGTGAATGCATTTGCAGGTGATGTTGCGATTGTTGGAATTTCGAACAACATAATTGAAGCTGGTAGAGGGGCGCTCACCGATCGTTTCTACGGAACTCACTCGTCCCGTTATGCCTTACGGGATCTCTCTCTTTCGAGTCCAGCCATCGGCCGCACAGCAGCGTGTAATATAGGCAGAATGGTATTACCGGCACTTCGGGGTTTGGTATGACTGACTGACGACGGCTAATTTCTATTTTATTTTATTAAGGGAAATATAGACGAGCACCTCTAAACTCCCTATTGGTTACAGGTTGTTGTAAAAAAATATGGAAATGGGGAAGTGAATAATTGATTTGTACATCATTGCGGACAGCTGCCTACTAGCGGAAAATAGTAATCATTAACGGTTACCTACTTATTACAA